CCCTTGACCTATTTTACGCTAGGTTGTGCTTCTTTTGAATCATTTTAGGTCCTAGCACGTGCGGGAAGGTCGAGGAAGAGTTTTGGGACAAATGGGGGTCGAAAAGCGCCAAAGTATGAAGAAAGTGCCAAGATCACGGACTAGGAGAAATTGTCACGGTCTTTCGGACCGTGAAGATTTATATGCGCTCTTGACAATTGCATGAGAAATAGGAGGATTTGCACGCCTCGCGGACAAGAGGAGTTGTCAAGGTCGCCAGACCGTAATCTTTTCCTAGTGACCGTGAAGTCAGACCAAAATGGCGGCAGACAACTGTGAAATTTGTCTGTGATCACGGGAAAGCATCCGATGTCACGGGCTGGAACTCGGGCAGAATAAATAGAATGCAACTGGGAGAGTAAAAGGGGAGAGCTTGGTTAGGGTTTGGAATTTCTGGGTTCCCTTCAAGGGTTCCAACCCAAAACCCCAAAGGAGGACTTTTAGAGAGAGAGAGAGAGAGAGAGAGAGAGATCTAAAGGGCCCTTGGAGCTTGCTTGGAGGCGGTCACCCACCACTGAAGCTTGAAGATCAACCCCTAGAAGCTAAAGAAGAAGGAGTTTGTGCTTTTTATTGTGATCTCTCTCCCCTCTATGAACTAAACCCTCTTCTCTTAGCTTGATGAACCCTAGGTTCTAGCTTTTGGGTTTGTGTTGGTATATGTGACAGATTTCATGTCCGATTGTTGAAATTATCTAAGTGTTGGATGGTTTTTCTTGAATTGCTTGAGTTTTGATTCCTTATCAAATCAATTGAGCTTTTGACCTAGGAGGGAGATAATCCACTCCTCAGTCTATATCGTCCGGGTAATCTTTGAGGGATTCGATTGGATCGATCTCCTACGATATAGGTTTGACCTAGGTTGAATAGAGCACCACCTCTCCATCTCTTCGTTGTTCCGGGTCCGCCCTGAGGGAGTTAACCTCCTAACGGTAGGGTAGTGAATCAATCGGGCTAGGGCGATACTCAACATCGATCAAATGACGGAACTAGGGGGATTCAAACCTAAGTGAGTTCCCACCTTGTAATTAGCTAGGTTAGTGGTTAGCTAGGTTAGTTAGTTTAGTCTTCTTAATCACTATCATAGATTGACTAGATAACAAACCCTAAACCTAAAATAAGGTAAGCTTAGATCCCCGTGGTTCGATAAATTGTATTACTTGCTAACCCTATGTTACACCTGGTCTTCGGTTATACTTAGTCATCGATTGAGAATGTTGTAGCTAGAGTTGGACCACCGTCGATGTGGCATATGATGTGGATTTTTTTTCCACATCACTTAATATAAAGTAAATAAAAATTGCATGTCTTTATAAAAAATAATGAAAAAAAATTCAAAATAACACAGAAGCCAATATTTCCAAACCCAAATTTTTGTTGTTTCCCCCACTTCCCGCCTCTATGGATATACTTAAAATGCTTGATTTGGAATGTTTTAGTGGAAGGGATAGGGAATCATAATAGAATAAAAGACCAACTAAAAGTAGGGCACCTCAGCCCACCGATTTGAAGTTGTACCATAAAAGAATTTGTACAAAAAGTATAGGTACAATCTGAAGTTGTATCATAACGTAAATGTACAATTTTAAGTTGTACCATAAAGACAAAAACCTATAGCACCAATACTATATAGCATTGTAAAATTTCTCATTAATTGGAGGCCCCCAATTTTTTTAGGCCTTGTGTTAGCGGGCCTGCCAGCAGAGGCCCAGGACCGGCCCTCAGAAAGAATCTGTAGCACATGGTTGACTCGCTCGAAACTACACCGAGAATTAATCCCGACTAGAGCCCAAGTTCTTAAACTCTATCCGGGTGCAGTATAGGGCAAATATTTAATTGTCAGACCCGAGCCGATCCATGTACCCCTACTTCAATCACTTAGTTTGTTATCTAGCAAACGTTTTTGGGTTTAAAACTAAGAAACCTACAAATGAAAACAAGCAAGTAAAGTAAATCGAGATTGTCCCAATGAGAGAAGAGTTCAGCCGGGTATTGCTCCCCCTAGATAACAATTATGACTTGTTGGATCGAATGGTCGTGTGTGGTTAGGGGATTATAAACTGCAGGGAAGTCTAACAAGTAGCCAAAGCTACCCTCTTAGTCTCTAGGTTGAGGAAATGGGATACGATCCAAGCCACTAATGCGACCCTCTCAACTTATTGACTAAGAAATGGTTAGACTTCACCCTCGAATTGGAGTTCGGACGGCCACCCACAACCAAACCCTAAGTGCTAATACGAAATAGGAGGTTTGCCTTGCGTTAATCTAACTAGGAGGCAATGACTTACCCAAGAAAACCCAACATTCAAGCCTCTTTCAAAGAAAGGAAGGGGGTTTTCCCTCTACCTAGGTTAGAATGGCAATTAGATTGATAGGCTTTCACACAACACAACATAACACAATCATTCATGAATAATACCTCCACATTCACATTAAACACAACCACACACAAATCATTCAATTCATACAAGCATTCACATAATTGTAGCTAGAGTTTACAAACACCCAAGTGAATAGGTAGGCTATTTCATAGCTAGGGAAAGGAAAACAAGAAAAAGAAGAGAAAGAACCATGAAGAGATGAAAATCTTTCCTCCTTGTTGCTTGAATCTCCCTTGAGAAGAAGAAACCTTTACTCCTCTAGGTTGAAATGAGCCCAAATCTCCTTCTTCCTCCTATGAAGTGCACTTTCTCTCTCTAGATTAGGAAGAGGACACCCTAATCTCTCACTAGAAACCCTCATTTATTCTGAAACTAAAACCCTCCCAAAAAGCTCTCTCCTTCCTCCTTTCAGCTCTCTATTTATACCCAGTCGCGCCCAGTTCACGTTCGTGAACAACATAACGCGTCTGTGAACTTAGTGAGCTAGATCAAAACGCACCGCTTCACTTCTGGGGTTCACGGTCTTAGCGATCGTGAACTGCCTTGGCGTCAGTAACCTCAGAAACCCCTCTAGACGCACGGTTTGTGGTTCCATTTCACAGTCCTGGCGACCGTGAACTCGCAGCTCTTACCGTGAACTACGACTGGTTCCTGTACGCCTGCGCTTTACGGTCACGGGGCAATTGTCACGGTTGACTTTGGACTTTTCTTCGGTTTTTGCGCTTTTTGACCTCCAATCGTCCCGAAACTCGTCCTCGACCCTTCCACACATGCTAGGACCTGAAATGTATCAAAAGAAGCACAACCTAACGTGAAATATGTCGAGGGACGATGAAATGCAAAGTCACACTATCAAGAAATGAGGGGCAAAATGTGTACAATTCGACCTGAATCACTGGTAATACATTGTGATGGCAATTTGAACCCGCCTCACGAGTATTACTCGACCTGACCCGCGATGGGTCGGGTATTACCTGACCTACAGTAGTGTGGGGCGGGGCATGGGTATCTACTTCCGACTCGTCCTGCCTAGCCCCCTTTTTTGCCCATTTTATCTCAATTTCTTATGGTATCTATACATATTTATCCTATGTTGACTTTCCTTCAACTAGTTAAAGTTGATCTTTCAACTTGTTAGACACAATTAGCCATTCTATTATCAATATTCTTCATTTTTTTAAAGTGTTTCCCCCTTCGTTTTATCGTAAAAAAGTAAAATTTGCATGTATTTTTTTTCAAATAACATTAAAAGTGGGTTGAATCGCCCCACCCCATTGCCATCACTGGTTATACATGTATACACTTTTTCCATGCTCATTAGTTCTCCAAGCAAACATGCAAACTCTATAATTTATGAGCCAAATAAAAGTCGGTTAAATTCAACCTTCATCACCAGCCATTTCTTTACTGGGTTTGAAATTTTGTATATATACTTGAATGCTTCATCAACATAATCCTTTTTTTTTTCTAAACAATGCTTCATCAACATAATTCTTTTTTTTTTTTTAACCTTCAACCAGTGAATATTTTGTTGAAGATCAAGAGAAGCTTCAATAGCAATTACATCAGAGATGAGAGTCTAGAATATCATCTGGTACAAACAGCTTAGAGGGACCTTCTAGGAACAAATGTGGAACTATATGAGCAAATATTGTTTGCTTCCCTGTGTGCAAACTTCCAGTCTCTCGCCCCTAATTGCTCTCCCCAATGCTTGATGTCCCGAGAAACATTACTAAGTTCAGTCCTTCCCTGCTCCTCGCTATTGAGGTAATCAATCAGTCTCTTACAGTCCAATTCCACCATGAGAGATCCCAGTCCAAAGTTCTATGTTTGCTCTTAGCAAAAAGCATAGTCTTCCCTTCAGCAATTTCAGGAGACCAGCCATAATCTTCTTTGGACGCTTATGCTAAGACCAGCTTTCCATTCCAGTCACAGATAACAAATCCCAGCCCCAGTTCACCTCTACAATTGAATCCTGCATCTGTGCAAATTTTGAGGGTACCAATTGGGGGGGTCGCTCCATTTGGTATTCTTGTTCCGGACGCTCCTGCTGTTTTCTTCCTTCCCCTGAACGTGGAAGAAGTCGTGGATAAACCCATCCGACCAAAAAGCAAATAATAATCGGTTACCAGTTATCCGATAATCGGCGGTTATCGGCGACCGGCAACCAAATTGCCACCCCCTAATTTTGAGAATATCTCCCATTCATGCAACACAGAGGATTATTATGCAGGGAATTATTTCTTCCCTTCCAGAAATTGAGCGCAAACACGTCCCAAATCATTCTCAGAAGCCACTTCCATGACCTTTGCAACCCAATTACAGTCCACAAGCAGGTGTTGTAAAGATTCAGTCATACCACAGTTCACACACTCCTCAGCCTGCTGTTTGGACTTTCCAGCCGATTCTTTCACCAACAGCGAGGATATTGTGCCAGATTTTCCAACCTGGTAACACTTGTTTCCATATTTTCTTCCACACTTGATCAGCTTCTTGATTTAGAGGGACTCAATCTGTGATTCCTCATCCATCGACCTGTCAAGCTCCAAAAAAATATCCAGCTCTCAACAGTATAGATACCATTTCAACACCCCAATCACAACGAATGCACAAATTCAACTAAAATTAGGTTTCTCTGTACAGCGAATTACAATACAAAAACAAACCAGCATAAAAGTAAGAACCAAATAACCAAGCGGGAGCCAAAACCAAAACGGGAAAATGAAACACAGGAAAAGAAGAGAGACCAAAAGCAAAACCCTCCATTCAGTCACAACTACTCTTGCATATCACCACCACACAGACAGACTTGTCCAATCACACAAAACAAAACAGCAGCACCCAACAATCCTTGGCCTCACATGACCGAGCAGGCGTTGGGATTCTCGTCGCTGAAGGCGGTGGTGGTCTTGACCTCGAAGGAGGTGGCCCGGGCCAGCGCCGACGCGTGGGGGTCGTACATCACGTTCCGGACATAACCCGGCGGCGCCTTCTTGTCGTAGGAGCCAGGCGCGTACGGGTGGTCGACGACGTCGTAGGGGACGTAGGGCCACAGATCCGCCTTCTTGCCCGTCCGGTGGCGGACGCGGTTCAAGACTTTGTTCGGATCCACAAACCCGATTACCGTCAGTTTGTGCTGCTTGGGATTGACTTCCACTTGGGTCACCCCTTTCATCCCTTCCACTGATCTCCTCACTTTCCTCTCGCAACCTTCGCAATCGATCTTCACCCTGATCTCCACCGTCTGCCCCAAAACCCCAAAAACAAGGCAGAAAGAATATCAGTGACAGACAGGAACAGGTGGGAATTAAAACAGACTAGGAGCTAGGATTTCTATCTTTAATTCCAGTTTCAGTACCTGTAGCTGCTTGCGCTTGAGCTTCTTGCTGTCATGGGAGGGGCCAGAATCGCAGAGCTCGGAGAAGTGATCGAGAATACCCATCTCTTCTTTCGCGGATTCAAGGCTGGGTTTTAGATGAGAAGGAAGGAAAGGGACTAAATTGAGAATGAGAAAGAGAAAGCTTCAACCTTTTTTTCCAATTTAAAGGAAACAGCGCCCAAAGCAGAACCGAAGAGAGGGATAATAATAAAAAAAGAAAAAGAAAAAGAAATGGTTAATACCTGGCCAAAATTATGGTACTAATCCAAAAGAAAAATATCTTTCTTTTTGTCACTGTGTTGGACAGGTGGGACGTGAGCGGTGGAGCTTCTTTTTAGAGATGAAACTTGAAAGAGTTTCTGTTTGTTAAACGTTTGCAAGCTAGAATCTTCCGTGGGAGCTGACGGAGTAGATGTACATCGATAGTCTGATCTGTTGTCCACTGGAGCAAACGAAACGAACAGAGGATGGGATATTTTTGTTGCGGTGGTGTGGTGGGTGGCTTGTCGTTTTATATGGGCTACACCTACACAACAAGATTGTCATGAGTATCGACTTGATTAAGCAATTGAGTGGTGATTGACTGGTTGAATCGGATTCAATCGTACTGATCTGATTTATATGAAATTTTACAAAGAATTTGTGCCAATGTAGTAAGGGCAAGGGCTTTATGTTGAATCATGTTTCTCCCCCCCCCCCCCCTTCTATTTCTTCCCCTTCCAAAATCATGTTTGAAACACGGTTATAATCAAATTAGGGTAGTGACTATTTATTAGTCAAATATTTTTCTGATTCTTTTTTATTAGTCAAATCTATTGAAATACTATTAATTAGTCAAATGTTAACTTCTAATTGGCAATTTTGGTAGTAATATTGACTTAGCAACATGATACTGACTTGGAAGAGACACATGGAGGTCAACATTCCAAAATTTTAGTATTTTAACTAAGAAAAGAGTTACAAAATTATTAACGATAACGTAAAAATGGAAAATATTTGGATGCATTACAAAAGATTTGGCCTATTATCAGTAATTCAATAGGTTTGGTTAATAAAAAGGAATGCGAGAAAGGTTTGGCGAATAATTGGTGTTTACCCATTTTTATTTTATTCATTGATGAGGTGGCAGCTGACTTGGACGCTGAGGTGGAGGACTGTTAAGAAATAGTTAATGGTAACAGATTAATGGCTATTAATTTGACCTGTTACAAAAAAATTGGCTAATTCTTAGTATTTCAATAGATTTGGCTAATAAAAAAATAAAAAAAGAAGTTTGGCTAATAAATAGTTGTTACCCTTCAAATTTAATTATAAAATTTCAAAATGTATTATAAACAAAATACATTTCATTTCAAATTAATGCCTAAAAACGTATGGATTCATTTATATTAAACAAAAGGTTTGATTTAATTTCAAAAAGTCTCTATAAAATTCACATCAATCTAATTTCTTCTCTAATGAAATAAATTTTATTCTCCTTTTTATATTTAATCATTTTTATAAGGGCGATTGATGCTTACTTTATAATTATTATATTAGATAATTCAACTTTTCCTTATATTGATTTCAAACAATCTACCATCATTCAGATTTTAGGTTTAGAATTCAGCAAAAGTTTCAGCTAAACAGGTTTTCACTTGCAAGTTTTCAGGTTTTGTTTCTTAAGAATCGATAGCTTTGTTTCCATTAGGTTATGTTTTCTGTTGCCAATCACAGTAAACGGACTCGAAAGTAAACACGCCCTTAGTTTTTCACTTTTTCTCCGATATGCAACTTTTAGTTCTCAAGTCTTTCTTTCTCTCTCATCCTCTTCGAAAACCATAGAAACCGTGGCAACTCTGGAGGACCCAAATGACGTTAACGACTTGAAGCAAGGTGGGTGGAGGCTTGCTACCTACCAGCCTCGAACGAGAAATATGAAGATAAGAAGATGAAGACGTACTACGGTAGTACTAGTAGCAAGTTATAATGATAGATGAGGGGGTTACATCGATCTAGGTTTGATAAAGTTTCTGATATCCAAAACCAAAAACAATCAAGGCCCTAGCTTGAGATGAGTGAGATGAAGTTCCATGGAGACCAAGGAACATATGAAGACTGACTCTGATACCAAAATGTAACATCCTAACCCGGTTGGGTACAACTTTTACCAAAATACATTTGAAAAATCGTGAAACAAATAAGAACTAAAAATACTTGAAAAATAGTGGAAGCTGTTCATAAATAATATTAAAAAATACTAAAAATAAAATGTAATTTCTTAAAACAAAGCCCTAACCCCTTGGACAAACCATGAAATCTGAATCTCCCATCTATACTAATAATCATATAATAACTTAAAAGTTCAAGCTGCTGCTAACTGAGATCCGTTTCTCCGACATCTTCAGCGACGCTCGTGCTTCTCTCATCTAGCCGCCTGCTCTCCAACTGGGTTCTCCCTCATACCTTTACTACAACCTGGTGAGTGGGTTGGGGTCAGTCTACGCCCTTATGTTTAAAATCTCTAGTACTTGAGCACTTACTTAACATACTTAACTTAAAATGGTGGAAGTTTGTACTTCCACCCTTAATCTGAGCTCTTAAAACTGAATGAGAGTTTTGACTGACACATGGATCTCTCAACAGCTAGTCTGGTTTCCCAACTCATATGTGTGAGAGCCCAGGCTTTCCTTAAACTTAAACTAGTTTAGGGAGTCGTAACGATTCATCCCCCTAGGCCCTAACATCTTAAACTTATCATGGAAGTCGTAATGATTCATTTCACGATTCTCAAGAGTATAAATACTTATCTTAAAAATCTCAAGAGTATACCTGTCGGTTTACCTCAAAATCTCAACTGGACAACGAACTAGCGCTAGTGACTAAAACCTCTTAAAACTATTTCACCTTCTTCGAAGGTGAAGTACTTCTTAAAAAAAAACTTGCTTCTTAAAATTCAACATACTAGTAAATAAAGCATGCAATATAACACATAACTGGAAGCATAGCTCATACGTAATCACATGCATCATATAGACATACATAGGCAAATATGACATAGCAATAAATCTAAAAAACTTAAACACCGTAATGCGTAGAATTTACCTTTTTACACTCACCTTACTAACTTAGTCGAATGACTCACTCCGACTACACGAAATAAAATCCCAACTAGAGCCCAAGTATAAACTCTAGTAGGGTGTAGTATAGGGCAAACGTTGTAATTGTCAACCTGGGCCGGTCCATGTACCCCTACTTCAACCGTTTAAAACGTTATTTAGCAATTGGTTTTTAATGAAAACTAAGAGCTACACTTTAAAACAAGCAAGAATTCAAATTGTTGTGGATTCTATATGAGAAAACTTCACCTGGGTATTGCTCCACTAGTTATATATCAAGATCGACCGAATAGAATGCCAATGTGTAGAAATGTGTTCATACACCGCAAGGAGGGTGCAACTAGTGAAGATACTTCACTCAGATGATCTGCCAAGGAATAACAAATTAAGCTAAGAAACTAGCTCTCTTGGCCAATCAACTAAGGGTTGCAAAAGCTACTCGCACAGAACTTAATCCGGACGGAAAAATAACAACCAAATCAAAGAGCTAAATCCAAGTTTGAGGCTTGCCCTACATTGCCATAGGTGGGTGACTCAAATGGCCAAGAAATCCAGCTTGTCAAAGCCTCTAGCAAAAGGGGCTTCTCTCCACCTAGGTCAATTTGGCATGGTTATGAGAAATGAAGAACACAACTCAAGAAAATCCTGAAAATACCTCAAACTTTGCATTAAACACAAACCCACACACATATCATTCTATCCATACAATCTATCACATATCTAAAGCTAGGGTTCACAATGCCCAAGTGAAAAGGAGCACTACTCCATAGCTGACCTAGGGATTACAACAAAGAGAAGAGGAAGAACCATGGTGTGGTGTTTGACGTTATCAATAGGTTATTTTGGTATAACGTTGTCAAATCACTTGTTGGTTAGGTTATCAATAGGTTATTGTGCTTCACAGTTGAAAAAATGAGGTCTTTTTGTTGGTTAGGTTACCAATAGGTTATTTTGGTATAACATTATCAAATCACTTGGTTAATGGTTATTCGGTTAACCGACGAAATAACTAAGAACCGACTATACGATTATTATTAACCGACTAATTTAAACGGTGCGGTTAACGAAGCACAAAATGCTTAATGGTTAATCGAGAACCCACTAAACGGTTCCGGTTCTAAGTGATTCGGGCCTAATTGTACATGTTTTGCCCCCGTTTTCCTTAGTCATTTGTGGCAATTTCGCTCCTAAAAGGGTTGTTTTACGCTAGGTTTCTTGTGTTTCAGTGTGTTTCAGCATTTAACAAGTGAAACCAGCCCCGGAGTCGAAAGTTAGACGAAAAGGAGCGAAAATTGGGAGAAGAGGTGAAAAACGACGAGTTCACGGTTTTTCTTGGATGTTCACGGTCTTGTATGACCATGAAGAATAGTCGTGAACTTTGAGGCGTACAGGGCCAAAATGCAAGTTACTGACGCTAATTGAGTTCACGGTCGCTAAGACCATGAACCCGTGGAAGCAAAGCGGTGCGTTTCGGCGCCCATCTTCAGTTCACGGACGCGTTTTAGAGTTCACGGCCGTGAACTGAGATCGTTCCCTGTTTAAACGATGAGCTGAAAGGAAGAGAGAGGGGAGAGCCCATTGTGTGAGAAAGCCTTCTTCAAATTTTTAGAGAGAGAAACACGAACCAAAGGAAGGAGGCTAGGGTTTTGCTCCAAGGTGGGATTTGGGAAGATTCTCCCCAAGAGAAGATTGAAAGCCTACTTCAAGATGGTTTCTACCTCTTGTCCTTGTGTTTCTCCCATTTCTAGCATGGAGTAGATTACTTTTCACTTGGGTGTTGTGAAACCCTAACTAGTTACCATGTAGTTTCTTTTATGTGAATTGAATGATTGTCATTGGGTATTGTTAATTTAATTCAATGATTGAGGTACTATTCATGTGATTGTGCATGTTGGTGCTTAGCAATCTAAGGATTGTGCATGTTTTGTGCTTAGCATCCTTAGGTTTGTGCATGTTGGTGCTTAGCAACCTAAAGATTGTGCATAATTGTGCTTAGCATCCTTAGGTTTGTGCATGTTGGTGCTTAGCAATCTAATTAGCCACTTTAACCTAGATTAGAGAGGAAAATCCCCCTTCCAAGGGAGACTCGATCGATTTGGTTTTCCCTTAGCTTTTCAAGCCACCTAATTAGGTTAATTTAGGGCAAACCTCAATGTTGAATTAAGCAAATTGGTTAAGCGCGATTAAACCGTCCAACCCTTGAGTTGAGTGAGGGAGTAAGTCAACCACCGATTGCCTAAACTGAGAGGGCCGAGTGACACGGCCTATAATGTATACCTCGGGTTAGCAATCGAGAGTGTGGTCT